CAGTCCTCTGGTCTCTGTGAGGACCACCCAGTCCTCTGGTCTCTGTGAGGACCACCCAGTCCTCTGGTCTCTGTGAGGACCACCCAGTCCTCTGGTCTCTGTGAGGACCACCCAGTCCTCTGGTCTCTGTGAGGACCACCCAGTCTAAGTAAGTAAGTAAGTAATGTTTATTTATATACCGCCTTTCACAGACCAGAGTCACAAAACTGTTTACAATTGTAGTAAACCTAGTTTACTACTCTGTGAGGACCACCCAGTCCTGTGGTCTCTGTGAGGACCACCCAGTCCTGTGGTCTCTGTGAGGACCACCCAGTCCTCTGGTCTCTGTCTTTGTGAGGACCACCTCAGTGGTCTCAGTCTGAGGTGCGGTCTAAAGCCAGACTGGAACATATCAAATGACATGTAGTGAGTTGTAAACAGCTGTTTTTTGAGGACTTTCCAATAAATGTCAGACTAAAGATGGACGATGGTTAAGTCCCATGTGGTCAGAACCAGAGTGGTCAGAACCAGAGTGGTCAGAACCAGAGTGGTCAGGACCAGAGTGGTCAGAACCAGAGTGGTCAGAACCAGAGTGGTCAGGACCAGAGTGGTCAGAACCAGAGTGGTCAGGACCAGAGTGGTCAGAACCAGAGTGGTCAGAACCAGAGTGGTCAGAACCAGAGTGGTCAGGACCAGAGTGGTCAGAACCAGAGTGGTCAGAACCAGAGTGGTCAGGACCAGAGTGGTCAGAACCAGAGTGGTCAGAACCAGAGTGGTCAGAACCAGAGTGGTCAGGACCAGAGTGGTCAGAACCAGAGTGGTCAGAACCAGAGTGGTCAGAACCAGAGTGGTCAGGGCCAGTATGGAGCTATTATTGTTTCAATAATATTTGTGTGTGCGTAAACAGATTTGTGTGTGTGTAAAAAGATGTGTGCGTGCGTAACCAGATTTGTGTGCGCGTAACCAGATTTGTGTGTGTGTAACCAGATTTGTGTGTGTGTAAAAGAAATATTTGTGCGTGTGTAAATAGATTTGTATGTACGTATCAAGATTTGTGTGTGCGTAAAAAGGTTTGTGTGTGCGTAGAAAGATTTGTGTGTGTGTAAAGATAAAAAAAGTAAGTTTTACACAGAAGTTTTTTTTTTACACACGAATCTTTTGACGCAGTCCTGCCTTCGCAGATTCGCAAGTGTAACTTGGACTGTGTGCGTCTGTACCCAGATTTGTGTGTGTGTAATTTGACATTTGTATCTGTAACAGAACAATCTGTGTGTAAATAACCACGCTGTACGAAGAGAAGAACGGACAAAAGCCTCATGGTTTCAGCCTAAACACTCGACTCTCCCCGGTTTGCGGGCGCTTCTACCTCTCGCTTCAACCGCTCCCCGGTACTTTTTATCAATGGTTTGGGTCCCTGGTTCTAACCGGGCAAGTCGATACCAGAACAATCTCACGTCAGCGAACATCAATTATGATTCCGAAATGAATGCTTTCAATCTCTAACCAAGAAAAAAAATCAAGTTTCAACCCAGTGTTCAGCAGAAACACAACTGTCTTTATCGAACCATGATTCACTCTCTGACTGCGTTTAGTAAAAGATATAGATTTGACACATAACACCAACACCACTTTAGCTGATTTAGAACCACAGACACATGTTCAGTATAAGACCAGATACTTTTGCATTTGATTGAAGACAGACACTCACCAGGCAGAGGTGGCTTATATCCTGGTGTAACGCTAGCTGGTGTAAGCTGGTTTTAGCATGTTAGCCGGTGTTAGCCGATGTCCGTAAATGTAATCCATTTGGTCAAACCACCTCCAGACTTTTCGGGTCTGCCTCTACTTCTGCTGCTGCGATCTTTCATTTCACGGTTGTCACTTTTAAGCTTTTTAACTTTTCTCTGCATTGTCATGTTTGTGGGAATCATTCTGCTCCGTCCTCAGCGCTAGCTCCACAAACACCTTCTGGTTTCTGGTGGAACCATCGAGCTCACGCTGGTGTCCTCTCCTCAAACTGAGGAAGGTGTTGCCCTCATCCAGCGACCAAGGAACTGTTTTCCGTACGGACGTCATGGATCGAGGCAACGTGTTGTTTGTTATGATATTTGCAACAGCTGAGGCAGCAGCTGCAGAGTGATTGACAGCGCATCTGACCAATCAGAATTGACGTTCGCCGACGTCAGATTGTTTTGGTGGCCTGGCTAGTGGAGTGAAGTTGGCCTTTACTATGGGTCAGAACTACATAGAGAATGAATGGCAGCGCCACCACCAAGGCGTTTTTGACGCTTGTCGTGTGAAAGCCCGAGAGCCGCACGGAACCAGCCAAAGAGCCGCATGCGGCTCACGAGCCGCGGGTTGGCCACCCCTGGTGTAGATAGAGAAAACCGAAGGATTTAAGAAGAAGAAAAGTTCTTCTTAAAACACAAAAATTCCCACAAAATCCGACTTTTATGAAAGCTGTAGGTTCTCTGTCAGCTGTTTTAGTTTACTTTGAGTTCTATGAGGAAAATGTCTGTGTAGCCCACGTGAATGTAGTCTGCAGTACGCGAGAATCCCTCAGCTCCAAGCTAGTAACACCCAAACCAGTTATTATAATAGATCCATGTATCATACAGTGGTGTGAATGACAAGATTTTAAATATAGGAAAAAAATATCATAAACAGCTGCGGTAGTGTGTCTTGTCAAGGCAGTAGGTTTTGGTTTGCTTGCCTGTAGGTAATAACCAGCTACAACAGCACCATCTGCTGGTGTACTGCTGGAACAACCACATTACACTTATGAATCTTTTTGACACACGCTTTGCGACAGAGGTGTGTCAAAAAGAGATTTGTGTGTAAAACAGAGCCTGTGCGTAGCACTTAGGCTTCTTTCCGTTCTTCTCTTCGTACAACGTGGTTATTTACACACAGATTGTTCTGTTACAGATACAAATGTCAAATTACACACACACAAATCTGTTTACGCACACACACAGTCCAAGTTACACTTGCGAATCTGCGAAGGCAGGACTGCGTCAAAAGATTCGTGTGTAAAAAAAAACGTGTGTGTAAAACTTACTTTTTTTTTCTTTACACACACACAAATCTTTCTACGCACACACAAATCTTTTTACGCACACACAAATCTTTATACGTACATACAAATCTATTTACACACGCACAAATATTTCTTTTACACACACACACAAATCTGGTTACGCACGCATACATCTTTTTACGCACACACAAATCTGTTTACGCACACACAAATATTATTGAAACAATAATAGCTCCATACAATTGTTGCCTTTCCTTTTTTTACATTAAAGAACTGAACAAAAACAAAAAGAAATAGGGGTGCAGAGAGCCTTTGCATACAAACATGTAATATGTTTTTACACAAAGTCAGATCGAACAGGTTTAACATAATCCGACCACTTGGACCACATTTTATAAAATGACTGAAGTTGTACTCTCAATGAATATGACACCTTTTCCATGATGTAAATCTGTTGCACAATATTGATCCAGTCCTCAGTTGTTGGCCTCTCAGGTTTGAGACATTTTATGGTTATGGCTTTTTTGCTCGCAGCTAAAAGAATATAGAGCAATTTCCAATTTGTCTAATGCCCCATTTGCCAGATATACATTTTCAAATGACAGGGGGAAAATCTCAGAGAAGACATTTTGTAGATGTAGATGAACTTCCGACCAGTATTCCTGAATAACCTTACATTCCCCAAAAATATGATCGTGACTTGCTCCGGTTTGGCCACATCTCCAACAAGCGTCACCCACCCCCTGATACTTTTTCTGAGATGGTGTGATAAAAAAACGCATTATATTCTTCCAACAAAACTCACGCCATACGTTTGACCCAGATCCATGATATTTTGCATATGTTTTCCCAAGTATCCTCTGTGTCTGACCTGTAGGTATCTAAAGAAATCTTCTTAGTCCAGCCCATGTTTTTGCTTTAATGTTTCAAAATTTTGAAACTCCCCCTTGTGGACAAAAGAGTTATAGCCTGTCAGACCTTTTGAAATCCAAACTTTAAATCTACTGTCCATTTGATTTGGGCAAAACCCAGAGTCATAAGCGCACCATTTCAAGAGCCGAGAATCTTTGTCCAAGTGACATAATTTAATTACAGCATTCCAGGCCACAATCATCATATTGGACAAAAACTCTTTGAATATTGCTCTTCTTCTGTAATTTGTTGTCTGCAATCAAAGCTCTTAAAGGTATTCCGTTAAATGTTTTCACTTCCAAATCTTTCCATCCTGCCTTGTAGATAGGGGAGCAAATGCACACAAGGGGTCTCAACTGGGCAGCATAAAAGTATGCTTTTAAACAGGGGAGGTTTCTACCGCCTTTTTCTTTCTTTAACTGTAGTGTCTTGTATTTAATTCTAGGCTTCTTTCCATTCCATATGTACCATGATATTAATCTGTCCCACTCTGCAAACTGCTGATCTGGAATAGGATTTGGTAGGCATTGGAATAAATATAGCATCCGAGGGAGGGCGTTCATACTAATGGACTAATAGAGTGTAAGTCTAAAATTGGTATAGTATTCCATCTTTGTAAATCAGATTTCAATTTATTATTTAGAGGGCCGTAGTTTACATCAAATCTTTTATGCAAGACAATTCCAAGGTAACGGAGGGAGTTAGCGTTCCAGTTCCATTTATAGCATTCTTTAATCCTTTGAGGGGGGGTCATAATTTAGAGTTAGAATTTGAGTTTCGTTAACGTTGATTTTATACCCTGAAAATGTGCCGTATTCTTCAAGTGTCTTTGCTCTTCCCCTGCAATCAGTGTCCCTTTAATGTCATCTCTTTGTCTGATCCATTGGCCAAGTGGTTCAATGTATAAAGCAAATAACAGTGCTGATAAATTGCAGCCCTGCCTAGTTCCCCTCTCTAGCTCAATTGACTTTGTGAGATCCCCATTAATTTGAATTCTAGCTATTGGTTTCTTATATAGTGCTGATATTGTCTGAATTATTGATTCGTGAAAGCCAAATTTCTTGAGGACTTTGTATAAAAAAGTCCACCTGACAGAGTCAAAGGCCTTTTCTGCATCTATGCTTATAACCAGTGTCTCTTGCTTAAGTTGGGCTACCTGATGCATGACGTGGAGCACTCTTCTGATACTGTCTTGTGTCTGTCTTTGTTTAATGAAGCCTGTCTGATCTTTGTGTATTCATTGAAGTAAAAGGTTTTCCAATCGTTTTGCTAATATGGATGTAAACAATTATTAGTTAATGTTCAGTGCACTAATGGGTCGATAATTACTACATTCCAAGCGGTCCTTTCCTTCTTTTGGGATGATAGAGATAATCGCCTCCTTCCAGGAGCGTGGAGTGCTTTTTCTTTCAATCACCCAGTTAAAAGTTTTCATTAAGGTTGGGATTAGATAGGACTCCATTGCTTTGTACCATTCCGGACCATAACCATCTGCTCCTGCCATTTTTACATTTTTTAGTCTTTTTATAGCCAATTTAATTTCTTCTTCACTTACAGCTGCTTTAAGTTTCCTATTTTGCTCCTCCGTCAAGTTTGGCAGGTCTAGTTGTGTTAAGAAGGCATCAGTATGATCATTATTAGTCTTAGGTTGAGAATAGAGAGGTTTATAATAATTCTGAAAACATGTTTTGATTTTTTTCCTGATGAGATTCAATATTATTGTTGGTGGGATTCTTTATTTTGTGGATTGCTCTTTCTGCTTGTTGTTTCTTCAGTTTATAAGAAAGAAGTTTTAGGGTCTCCCCCCTGCCTCATAATATTGTTTTATAAAAACTAACCTTTTCTGCACAGCCAGTGTATTAATGTTGTCAATTTCCTTTTTAAGTTTGGTAATTTCTGACTTTATTTCCTTTTTCATATTCTTTGAATGTTCTTGTTGTAATTTTAGATTTTTTTTTTATAAGCAAAATAGTTTTTGTTGATTAGTTTTCTTCAGCTAGGAGGAGATACTTATTAATTGACCTCTTATGACCGCTTTAAGTGTATCGGAGACACTTGATCATTATCGTTACGTTCGGCTCAGCTAGGGAGTGTGAACGCAGCAAAAAACCAGATGGAGTTGGTATCAGTCCATTTTAAAGTAAGTTTTAATAATGACAGAAAGTAAAATGAATTTAGAAACGAATGAGGAATACAGAACATAACAAGAATGATAATAAGAAAACGATGTCACTCTACAAACTAGAGCTCAACAAAAACGAAGTGACAACATAACGGAACAGAACAACACAGGAGGAGCATTGAAGGCAGACTGGCACGGACAAGTCCAGCTGCCCCGAGCTGACGGAGAATGGGAGGTTTTAACGGGGACGCCCTCTTTGATGGATCCCCGGGGTTGGAGGACATCTACACGCATCTCCCACAACAGCCACTCAGGTGTCAGCCCAGCCACGCCCACTCTCGAGGTTCCTCCAATAGATTGCCCGCACAGATCACCTGTACAGAGCACGAAGGCGCACACACAAACACAAAGGGCGACGGGAGCGCCATCTAGTGCACAACTGGCACAATAGGTCGTTGCCCGTAACAGTTGTACACAAGAAATTCTTCAATTGCAACAATCAAATCCTCTTTGGTGTTTGGGTAATTCAGGATGTTACTGTTTAGTCTCCAAATCGTAGATCGCATCTTTAAATCTAGGCAGATGTTTAAGTAAACAGGATTATGGTCCGAAACTGTACAGGGCCCAATCTCACTACTTTTTACTCTTAATAAGTCATTTTTGAACATAAAAAAATAATCTAAAGGAGAATAAACATTGTGAGGATGAGAGTAGTGTGTATATTGTCTTTTAGCTGGGTGTTCTTCTCTCCACACATCCACCATCCCCGCCTCTTTCATGAACTGTGATAGCTTTTTCCCAATTTTTTTGTATCGCCTTTACCATTGGAGGAGTCTAGAGAAGCATTTATAGTAATATTGAAATCCCCTCCACATATTAGGACTCCTTGGCTTTTAGTCGTAATCAAACCAAAGATATGATGGTGAATGGGCCAGTCACTGCCCGGTGGGATATAAACATTCAGTATGGTTGTAAGAGTACCTTCAATTTTCCCTGTAATCATGACATATCTGCCCTCCTTGTCCTTGTGCTCAGAAATGTGCTCATAGTTCACCGCTCCAGATATTAGAGTGGCCTCTCCGTCTTCCTGACCCATGAGAAGAGTAAAACACATGTTTAAATCCCATCTTATTCAGTTTTACATGCTCAGAGTCTGAAAGATGTGTTTCTTGCATGAGAGCTATCTGTGCTTTGTCTCTTTTGATTTTGGTCAGGGCCTTCCATCTCTTTACTGGATTGTGTAAACCATTAATATTTATTGTAACAACCTTTATATGATCAGTATGCATATTGATTTGCTTATAGTCACTTTACACAATTGTTCTCTGCTTCCCCAGGTATATAAACATGAAACCAAAATAGAACACAACATGAAAACATGAACAAAAATGAACTTTTATGGTGTCTTCCAAGGCAGGGGTCTCTCAAACAGACCCTGTTGAGCCTCTAAAGGCAAAGTCCTCATCAGTTCGGTGAAAGGGGCCCTTAACAGCAGGGGCAAGAGCCCCGTGAGAAGGTGCGTTCCGAAGAACCGTGTTTTTTATTATATATATATTAATACTTGCTTTCCATATTGCTCAAATAAACCAGTGTCTATACAAAAATACAAAACTAAAGGTATTAACATACTTTTTGATAATGAAACCAGAAGATAAACCTCATTCATCCGTAGCATCTGCCGCCATCCTCTTAAAGGCTCTCAGCTTCACTTTATTTAAAGGTCTATCTATCTTATAGCTTGGATCTGACGGTCCGGCTTGCGTTGTTCTGCGGCCAGTCCCTCGGGTCGCTCTGTTCCAGGTCAGCTGCTTCACTTGCTCCAAGATTGACTCCGGTGTTTTGATGACCTCCACGGGGAGACCTCTTTTAAACATATCCTCACTTACTTCCACCACCGTGTTGTAAAGCCTATCACCCTCGGCATACTTAACCTTCAGCTTGGCGTTCTCTCGATACTCGTTTTTCTTTGTATGTCCCCATGTTTTGTCGCTGCCTCAATGTTTTTTACACGCACATGCACGCACACACATATCTCCCTCCCTCCCCATATGGTATTGTTTCATGTTCTCTCAATATCTGTGCTTCTTTGTATGTCCCCATGTTTTGTCGCTGCTTCAATGTCACACACACACACACACACACACACACACACACACACACACACACTTATGTAATGTTTTATGTTGTCTCAATATTTTTATCTCTTTGTATGTCCCCATGTTTTGCCGCTGCTTCAACATTTTCTTTGCCGTCGTACCAATCCTTTTTCACTTTTGTATGTCTATGTGTCACTCTTGTATGTCTATGTATCACTTTTATGTATGTCTATGTATCACGTAAAATAAAAAAAAAAAAAAAAAAAATGTTCTTGATAAATGCACTCACTGAAGAAGAGTCTCGCTCTGACATCTCTGGTACCCCATATACTCGAATGTTTTCTCTTCTCGAACGGCTCTCGAGATCAGTTAGCTTCTCCTCCATCTTCACGTGCAACTGCAGTAGCCCCGTAATGGCGTCCTCCGCATTTTGTATTCTCTGTTTTCTCAATCCGCTTCTCTGCTTCCTCCAGTCGGGTGTGGACTCTTGCTAGGTCATTGGTAATGCTTTGAAATTGCTCTTTGTTTTCTCTGCGGAACTCTCTGAGCTCTTGCAGCAGTGTCTCACTGCTAGCCATGTCTGACTCGTGTTAGCTCTGCGTGCTGTGGGCTGTTAGCTTAGCATTAGCAAGCCGTGTTAGCACTTGTTGAAACGTCCGTGTGCTTACTTGTAGGCGCTATATAGACACTGGGTTTGGTGTATTTCTCTTCCCCTCGACTTTATCCTTGCATTTCTCAGATATACTTCTTAATTGCTACGGTTCAGTCGGCTGCTCCCTCACGGTGCGGCCATCTTCAAGGTGTATCCGACCGGAAGTCCGACCAACATGTTTTTATTACAAGGGAAAATGTAGGTACCCCAGCTTTAATGTAGGGCACGGTCACAAACGAACTGGCCTAAGTGGCCCGGATCGTCGCACAGGGGTGTGAAGATGGCCCTCGATCAGAAGGTTTAAAAATACTAGGACCTTGTAAAGTTTCCACCTCTCTTCCGATTTACACAAAGCTACAGTGACTTTTTGTATAAAGTTCTTCTCCAAGAGTGCAGCTCCTCTGCGTCTCTGTGTGCCAACATCCTCCAGAGACGTCACATAGCGACAGTATCTGCTCACGGAGCTGCAACATGGATGTTATCATGGTATTAACCGGAGCTTCTGTATCTGTGAACACGTTAGCAGCACCTGTATTCAGTGACAGTAGAATGTCAACTCAGGGTGAAGACGTATGTTCACAAGCACTGTGTCCCCCATTGTCAGCCTGGTTTAGTCCTGGTTTAGCTGTTTGCAAGTGTCTCCATCTGCTCGCTCTGACCGGCTTGTGTCCTCGTGACCACCTTGGGGCTTCCCGAGGTACTGCAGACTAAATTCACACGGGCTACCCAGAAATGTTCCCCATAGAACTCAATGTAAACTACTGTAAAACAGCTCGACCCCACCAGACAGAGAACCTGACAGAGAACCTACAGCCTGCGAGTGTTATACCGCACCAAGCACTAACTTTAGACACTTTGCACAGGGTCTGCAGCGTGAACATTGTTTCTCAGAGTAAGGCCAAGTCATTGGGAGGTTTGGAGACAGGTTAGATTTGCGTAAAACAAGCCTGGAACGGGGCGCCGCGCCGCGACCTCCAGCCTCCACTAAAGTCTCAGCTAAAAGTGCTTCCCACATATTTATTTTCATGCCTCCCGTAATCACCGGGACAGTAACGTGTTGGAGAAGCCTTGTCTTGTGGTGTTAGACGAGAGAGAGATCAGGGGAGATGAGAGAGAGAGCAGGGGAGACAGCAGCAGCAGGAGGGTCGTGGTGACGCGCTTCACCTGGAGGCGCGCGTCTGCGCAGACTGCTCACAGCAGCACCATGATTTGTATTTTTTACTATTGTCATGAACATTTACAATGTTACAGTGTGAGTTCTGTGTGTGTTCATGTCTTAGTGATCAATATATGTCAGTTAGAAAAATACAAATATTGTATGAAAATTCTAAAATCCACTATTTCTAACACCAAATGATGTCATAATATGCAAATTAGATGGGGGGGATTTATTCCCTACATAAACTTTGGACCATCCTTAAGTTATAGCCTTTTGAAATTAAGATGTCACAATGGAGTGATTTGGAAAAAACCTCTGGCGCTTAAAGGGTTAACAACAAGCATAATGTTCTTAAAAACAATTACATTTGTGTTTTGTTTCAACAATTCATGTAGTGCCAATTATAGATAAATAAATTATTATTATTATTATTATACATAAATATTAACTGTTAAAAATCATCTTCAGGAGAAAACTGGACAAATCTGGATCTCAAACCAGACCTGGTCCCAGCTGCGAGTCTCTGAAGAGTGACAGCTCTAAAGGCTGGCTCGTAGAGTTTAAGAACACTCCACCTGAGAACATGGGGTAAGTAGCAGCGGTGGCCAAAGGTCGTTCTCTGCTTTCATTGGTGAAAGGCAAAGTTTACTTTGTTCCACAATAAACTTTAGTGATGAAATGACTCATTAGTGAGGATGTAATAACCGGATTAAAAGCAGAGAAGCAGAAGCAGAGTGTGTTATGCACTTGTATGAACTGTGCGATACAAATAAACTTGCCTTTTCCTTTGATTGAAAACTGTCAGAAAGTCTCAGTGGCTGCTGTGTTGTGGCATCAATAAACATGTGCCTGATTCTAACAAACTTGTTTTAACTTTTCTTTTTGCTGCTACAACAACATTAAATGAAAGTCATGAGTCATAGTTTGTTTCTTTGGTGTTTTCTATATTTTGACTGTGACCCCAGAGCGGAGAGCAGCACGGATCAACTCGGTATAGACCCGCTGCTCCCAGTCTTCACGGTCAGTACACAAACACAGTGTCTGTGAGGTTATGTTCTGACTGAGTTTGTGTGTTTGCAGCGGCTGCAGGAGCAGGTCCTGGACTTTGCCAAAGAGCAGCTGCAGAGCTTCCACCGGGCCCTGAACTCAGATTACCCAGAATGCTCAGAGAGAGTGGCGGAGGAGCAGCTCATCAGAGAGGCCCTCCTGACCATAGCACTGCACTTCCTGGAGAGGATGGGGGAGGGGCGAGTGGCCGAGTGTCTGTTCAGCCGTAAGAACAAAGAAAACACAGTTCACATATTTAAAAATAAAAAATCTGAGAAAAAGAAGTCGTCTAAAAGTCAAATCTAGAGCAGAATAAGTATTTAAAATACAAAGGATTGGGTAGAATATTGACATGTTGTAAAACTAGACATCAGACCCAGTGTCCTGCCTGTAGAGCACACACCTGCTGTTGCAGCAGTGATTACTGATGTTCAGTGACCAAACACTGGATTTCACCAAAGAAACTGGCAACATCAATGAGAACCTCTTTCTGATTGGATCATCTGTTTAACAATAAACATGGTCTGTTTTTAAAAGATAGAATATTCACATTTTGATCAGAAAAGGCCAAACATGATTTAAATCTGTCGATAGATAAAAGATTAAAAATAAACAGTACATCTTACGTACAGTACTGTCCCTTTAAGATAGAAGAAAGCTGATGTCGTACAGTGTCTCCTGATGCTCGGAGTGAGACCTGATGCTGAAGGTGTGATTGTTGAAAGACAGTCACTTAAAGGAGACGTGCATTGTATTTTGTGTTGAACATTAAAGGTCCCATGTGTCAGTTCTGATGTGTGTCTGTAGCACCATGAGGTGTGACCAGTGTTTGGCTGTAAACCTGGACTCACACATGTTCCTCCTGTTCTTCACAGAGAGTGCGGCTGGAGTTTGCAGAGATCAACTGCAGCAGCGTCTGCAGAACAAGCTCAGCCTTGTGTCTGAGGGCGTGGCTAAAGCCGGAAGCCTCACCCCTCTGAAGCAGGTCTACACTGAGCTGTACATCACAGAGGGAGGGGCCGCGGGGGTCAACCAGGAGCATGAAGTCAGACTCATCGAGAGCAGATCCAGGAGAGCAGCCGCCCCAGAGCGCCCCATCACATGTGAGGACATGTTTAAAGGGCCCGCACTCAAAGGAAGACCAGTGAGAGCAGAGCAAAGAGAGAGACGGGAACCAATCAGACTGGTGCTGACGAAGGGCGTGGCTGGTGTGGGGAAAACAGTGCTGACTCAGAAGGTGAGTCTGGACTGGGCTGAGGGCAGGGCTCTCCAGGACGTCCAGCTGCTGCTGCCGTTCACATTCAGAGAGCTCAATGTTCTCAGAGACACAGCCTTCAGCCTCCGTGGACTCACACAGCACTTCTACAGCGAAGCCAAACGTCTGCGCAGCCTCGAGCAGCTGCAGGTGCTCTTCATCTTGGACGGTCTGGACGTGTGCAGACTTCCTCTGGACTTCGCTGGGACTCGAGTCCTGACAGACGACACAGAGAGCGTCTCGCTGGACGTGCTGCTGGTGAACCTCATCAGAGGAAACCTGCTTCCCTCTGCTCGCCTCTGGATAACCACACGCCCTGCGGCGGCCAATCAGATTCCTGCTGAGTGTGTCTCCATGGTAACAGAGGTGCGAGGGTTCACTGACCCGCAGAAGGACGAGTACTTCATGAAGAGGTTCAGAGACCAACAGCGGGCCGCAGACATGATCTCCCACATCAAAAGCTCACGCAGTCTGTACATCATGTGCCACCTGCCGGTCTTCTGCTGGATGATGTCCACAGTCCTGGACCATGTGATGGAGACAGGGCTCAAAGAGCAGCTGCCTCAGACTCTCACCCAGATGTACATCCACTTCCTGGTGGTCCAGGCCAAAGTCAAAAGCCTCAAGTACGATGGCTGCTCTGAGAGCGAGCCTCACTGGAGCCCTGACACCAGGGAGATGGTGCTGTCTCTGGGAAAACTGGCCTTTGAGCAGCTGCAGAGGGGAAACCTGATCTTCTATGATTCAGACCTGGAGGAGTGTGGGTTGGACGCTGCAGGGGCCTCTCTTTACTCCGGAGTCTTCACACAGGTGTTTAGAGAAGAGCCGGGGCTGTACCAGACCAAGGTCTACTGCTTCATCCATCTGAGCGTGCAGGAGTTTCTGGCTGCGCTTCACGTCCACCTCACCTTCTACAGCTCTGGGCTCAACCTGCTGTCCCCACAACAAACCACAGAGAGGCCCACGTCTGACGCAGAGAGCTCCACGTCTGACGCAGAGAGCGCCACGTCTGACTTTTACCGTTCTGCTGTGACAAAGGCTGTAAAGAGTCCCAACGGTCACCTGGACCTCTTTCTACGCTTCCTGTTGGGTCTGTCTCTTTCGACCAATCACAGCCTGTTATTAGGTCTGCAGCAGAAGACTGGAAGAGCCTCAGACACCAATAAAGACACAATAAAGTGCATCACAGATAAGTTGGAGGATGAGGATATTCCATCAGAGAGTCGTATGAACCTGCTCCACTGTCTGCATGAGCTGAACGACCACAGTCTGCTGCAGCAGGTGCAGCGCTACATGAGAGAAGGACATTTCTCTGATAAAGACATGTCTGTGAGTGAGTGGACAGCGGTGTCTCTCCTCTTACTGTCTTCAGACTCTGAGCTCCAGGACTTTGACATCAGAGAATACTCTTATCATCCAAATGCTATTAAGGGTCTGCTGCCTGTAATGAAAGCCTCCAGAAAAGTCACGTGAGTCGAGATTTTATTAAAACACAAACTCATGATTGGAGCCTGTTATCTTCCTCTCTGTCCTCAGTCTGTCCAGCTGTGACCTGAGATACTTTGATCTGACCTCAGTCGTCAGCTCCTCTGCTCTGAAACATCTGGACCTCAGTCACTGCCTCCTCACAGACTCTGATGTGGAGGAGCTGTGTTCTGGACTGAAGAGCGCCACCTGCAGACTGGAGGTCCTCAGGTGAGACCCAGAACAGCCCCATATCAGACCTTAAAGAGCAGCAGAACATTTGCATTATTGTGTTTTAATATAAAAGTCTGAAGAACAAAAACCACTGCATTCAAACTAATACAGTTTCCATTTTCTCCAAGTTCTCATCCAGCTCCAGTTTGGTTTCTTTGTGGTGAAATAAATAATGAATGATTAGTTGTAGTTAGTAAGAAACACCAGCTCTAGATAAAGTGCACGACAATGAAATGTTGAAAAGTGTAATCAGTAATTTACATTTTCCTCCTGTTGAAATATGAACAAAAGTGGAACAGAATAATCTCTAATGATGGATTTTTGGATTGATTCAGTTTATTTGTCTTGTGTCATTAAATGTTATTTAATCATTAGAATATAAAACAAATACATTCAAACAGTTCCAACTATTGATTAATCATTGTGTTTGAAATGATCTGTATATTGATTATGGTTAGATTAGTTATATATGTTATTTAGCTTCAGTCATAAAAAGAATGACATAAACTGGACACTTGACATTTTTCGATTCATTTTAAACAATTTCAGAAGAACTTGTATAAAACCTTATGGCTCTATGAAGATCATTATTATTTTTAGTTAAAAATGTCAGTTTATTGTCCAAAAAGAGCATTTATAAATAATGTAGTTTTTCAAATGAGTTTGACGTATTTTGTCTCGTATCAAAATTGAGTTATAAATTCAGTATCGTGACAAGACTAAGATGAACCCGAGCTAAACCGGGCCACACCAGGACATTTGAGGAATGATCCTTTCACCTTAATATTGTGTAAAGAAACTACACACAAAGGATGAGGACAGTGGGTCTGTGTTTTATATTATTGTGTTTATTTAATAACAGTGGATCCTGTTCTCTCCTCAGTCTGTCCTTCTGTCGTCAGTCTCATCTCTGCTGTGAGTCTCTGGCCTCGGTCCTCGGCTCCTCTGCTCTGAAACACCTGGACCTCAGTAACAATGACCTCACAGACTCAGGAGTGGAGCAGCTGTGTTCTGGACTGAAGAGCGCCACCTGCAGACTGGAGGTCCTCAGGTGAGTCCTGCTCCATGTTTCACACAGTTTAAGAAGACATAATAATAACATAAAAAGATGGATAACTTTTCAAAACAGTGAGGATCTAATTAGGACCTTTCCCAAAGTCCTTTAACCTTTACCCAAATCTATAAACTGTAAACTTAATATAATGTACTGTAAACGTATATGATGTCATATTGTCAAACAGACTAGTGTTAAATAGTAAAAGCAGCCGTGCAAAGTGATAGAAGTGTGGCATAAGTGTGTAGGGAAGAAGACGGACTAGAGCAGGGGTCCCCAGTTAAATTGGCACGAGGTCCACTTACTTGATCAGTTTAATAGATTAGGGTCCGGACATCATCCAAATATTTTATTTCATAGAAATCCATTCAAGCTTTTTCTTTCATATGAAATGATTTGAAAACCTTAAACAACGACTACAGTAAGAACTATTCAGAACAAAACCATCTATATATAAGTGTGTATAATTCACACATAACATTAATCTACTTTGTTTATTTCTACACAACACACCACAAACCTCTACACAACACACCACAAACCTCTACACAACACACCACAAACCTCTACACAACACACCACAAACCTCTACACAACACACCACGAACCTCTACACAACACACCACAAACCTCTACACAACACACCACAAACCTCTACACAACACACCACAAACCTCTACACAACACACCACAAACCTCTACACAACACACCACAAACCTCTACACAATACACCACAAACCTCTACACAACACACCACAAACCTCTACACAACACACCACAAACTTCTACACAACAAACCTCTACACAATACACCACAAACCTCTACACAACACACCACAAACATCTACACAATACACCACAAACCTCTACACAACACACCACAAACCTCTACACAACACACCACAAACCTCTACACAACACACCACAAACCTCTACACAACACACCACAAACCTCTACACAACACACCACAAACCTCTACACAATACACCACAAACCTCTACACAATACACCACAAACCTCTACACAACACAATACACCACAAACCTCTACACAACACACCACAAACCTCTACACAACACACCACAAACCTCTACACAACACACCACAAACCTCTACACAACACAATACACCACAAACCTCTACACAACACACCACAAACCTCTACACAACACAACACAATACACCACAAACCTCTACACAACACACCACAAACCTCTACACAACACACCACAAACCTCTACACAATACAACACAAACCTCTTCACAACACACCACAAACCTCTACACAATACAACACAAACCTCTACACAACACAACACAAACCTCTACACAACACAAACCTCTCAGAGCAGAGACTGCAACACATGATTATTGTGGAGGATCAGGATCTTTTTTTGTTGAAGTGCTTCTTTCAAATATTGTTTTTGCCATCGCCTCCTCCTCCTCCTCCTCCTCCACACACTCCGACCTCCTCCTCCTCCTCCACACTGACCTCCTCCTCCTCCACACACACTGACCTCCTCCTCCTCCACACACTCTGACCTCCTCCTCCTCCTCCACTCTGACCTCCTTCCTCCTCCACACTGACCTCCTCCTCCTCCACACTGACCTCCTCCACACTGACCTCCTCCTCCTCCACACTGACCTCCTCCTCCTCCACACACTCTGACCTCCTCCTCCTCCACACTGACCTCCTCCTCCTCCACACACTCTGACCTCCTCCTCCTCCACTCTGACCTCCTCCTCCTCCACACACTCTGACCTCCTCCTCCTCCACTCTGACCTCCTCCTCCTCCACACTGACCTCCTCCTCCTCCTCCACACTGACCTCCTCCTCCTCCACACTGACCTCCTCCTCCTCCACACTGACCTCCTCCTCCTCCACTCTGACCTCCTCCCCCTCCACACACTCTGACCTCCTCCTCACTGACCTCCTCCTCCTCCACACACTCTGACCTCCTCCTCCTCCACACTGACCTCCTCCTCCTCCACACACTCTGACCTCCTCCTCCTCCACACACTCTGACCTCCTCCTCCTCCACACTGACCTCCTCCTCCTCCACACACTCTGACCTCTCCTCCTCCTCCTCCACACACTCTGACCTCCTCCTCCTCCACACTGACCTCTTCCTCCTCCACACAATCTGATCTCCTCTTCCTCCTCCACACACTCTGACCTCCTCGTCCTCCTCCACACACTCTGACCTCCTCGTCCTCCTCCACACACTCTGACCTCCTCGTCCTCCTCCACACACTGACCTCCTCCTCCTCCACACTGACCTCCTCCTCCTCCACACACTCTGACCTCCTCCTCCTCCACACACTCTGACCTCCTCGTCCTCCTCCTCCACTCTGACCTCCTCCTCCTCCACACTGACCTCCTCCTCCTCCACACTGACCTCCTCCTCCTCCACACTGACCTCCTCCTCCTCCACTCTGACCTCCTCCTCCTCCACACTGACCTCCTCCTCCTCCTCCACACTGACCTCCTCCTCCTCCACACTGACCTCCTCCTCCTCCACACTGACCTCCTCCTCCTCCACTCTGACCTCCTCCTCCTCCACACTGACCTCCTCCTCCTCCTCCACACTGACCTCCTCCTCCTCCACACTGACCTCCTCCTCCTCCACACACTCTGACCTCCTCCTCCTCCACACTGACCTCTTCCTCCTCCACACAATCTGATCTCCTCTTCCTCCTCCACACACTCTGACCTCCTCGTCCTCCTCCACACACTCTGACCTCCTCGTCCTCCTCCACACACTCTGACCTCCTCGTCCTCCTCCTCCACTCTGACCTCCTCCTCCTCCACACTGACCTCCTCCTCCTCCACACTGACCTCCTCCTCCTCCACTCTGACCTCCTCCCCCTCCACACACTCTGACCTCCTCCTCCTCCACACACTCTGACCTCCTCCTCCTCCACACTGACCTCCTCCTCCTCCACACACTCTGACCTCCTCCTCCTCCACACACTCTGACCTCCTCCTCCTCCACACTGACCTCCTCCTCCTCCTCCACACACTCTGACCTCCTCCTCCTCCACACACTGACCTCCTCCTCCTCCACACTGACCTCTTCCTCCTCCACACAATCTGATCTCCTCTTCCTCCTCCACACACTCTGACCTCCTCGTCCTCCTCCACACACTCTGACCTCCTCGTCCTCCTCCACACACTCTGACCTCCTCGTCCTCCTCCACACACTCTGACCTCCTCGTCCTCCTCCACACACTCTGACCTCCTCGTCCTCCTCCACACACTCTGACCTCCTCCTCCTCCACACTGACCTCCTCCTCCACACACTCTGACCTCCTCCTCCTCCACACACTCTGACCTCCTCCTCCTCCACTCTGACCTCTTCCTCCTCCACACACTCTGACCTCCTCCTCCTCCACTCTGACCTCCTCCTCCTCCACACTGACCTCCTCCTCCTCCACACTGACCTCCTCCTCCTCCTCCACACTGACCTCCTCCTCCTCCACTCTGACCTCCTCCCCCTCCACACACTCTGACCTCCTCCTCACTGACCTCCTCCTCCTCCACACACTCTGACCTCCTCCTCCTCCACACTGACCTCCTCCTCCTCCACACACTCTGACCTCCTCCTCCTCCACACACTCTGACCTCCTCCTCCTCCACACTGACCTCCTCCTCCTCCTCCACACACTCTGACCTCCTCCTCCTCCACACTGACCTCTTCCTCCTCCACACAATCTGATCTCCTCTTCCTCCTCCACACACTCTGACCTCCTCGTCCTCCTCCACACACTCTGACCTCCTCTTCCTCCTCCACACACTCTGACCTCCTCGTCCTCCTCCACACACTCTGACCTCCTCGTCCTCCTCCACACACTCTGACCTCCTCTTCCTCCTCCACACACTCTGACCTCCTCCTCCTCCTCCACACACTCTGACCTCCTCTTCCTCCTCCACACACTCTGACCTCCTCTTCCTCCTCCACACACTCTGACCTCCTCTTCCTCCTCCACACTCTGATCTCCTCTTCCTCCTCCACACACTCTGACCTCCTCTTCCTCCTCCACACACTCTGACCTCCTCTTCCTCCTCCACACACTCTGACCTCCTCTTCCTCCTCCACACACTCTGACCACAACATAATCTTTTTATACCCATAATCCACTGCACTCGCAGTGAGCACTAAAGCAGGACATGCACTGTTTGCTAATGCTTTTAATGTTTTTGATGTGTACATCTGTCTCACTCCTCCTCCGCGCACACACAGGAGTTGCTGCTCATCCTCACACACCTCTATCTCGCTCCTCCTCCTCTCCTCCTCCTCCTCCTCCGCTCATACACAGAAGTCTCTGTCAATTTGGACGCAGCCAGTGTGAGCAGCTTAACGCGAGCGTCCATCGCTCCGAACACAGCGCTCATTTCCATCTCATTCTACGAATAGGTGCGTAGTCCCTTAGGACTTCGCTAGTGGGATATCACTCGTGACCCCCAGGTCACACGCCAGAGAGATCAAAATAATTTGCTCCAATCACCAGCCACCTTCCTCTATAAATGCCCCTGCACAAGGCCGCACCCCCTCTTTCACTCTGGCGCCGATTGAGATCTACACAGTGATCAATTTTTCCAGAGAAAGATGTCTTCTGATGCTCGTCCGAGTTCCCCTTCGCCCTCCGGCGTCGGACGTCGTCGTTGCTCGACGTGTCGTGTCAGGCTCCAGCGCACGGACCAGCACTCCAGCTGCTTCATGTGCCTGGGCCCGGGCCATGCGGCGTTGAGCGCCACCTGCACCTCGTCTCGCTCTCCCCAGGGAGGAGAGCGAACGCAGGCGTGCGTACCTCGCCGCTGCAGCGCCCCGTCCGGACTCCTCTCAGGACGAGGAGTCTGAGACTGACTGGGCCCCACTCGACCTTCCACCCGTGCCCGCGGAGTGGGGTGACTACGAGGACGGAGAGGTTTCGGAGGTCGGCTCTCTCCTCACGCTGGACGAGGTGGTGTCGAACCCGGAGCCGGACCGCTTCCCACTGGACCACATGCCTGGGCTCTACTCCACTGCGGCGGCCATCATGGATGCCCCCCTGCCACCGCAGCCGACCCAGAGGGTGGAGGACTTCACCTCTGGTTACGCCACCACTCGAGGGAGGAGAAGGACACAGCCCACGTTGTGCCCGCGGATGGACCCGATCGTCCATTACGCGACACGTGAGTGGCCAAAGCCCCTAGCGGCCAAGAGGCCCGCTTTGGGCTACGGCATGTACTGCAACGTGCAGGACTGGTCCTGGACCGGCGGGGTCCCGGACATCGAGGATTCGGTCCGCATGGCCCTGCACCCCTCCGCATCCGTGTGGCCCGGCACCAGACCTCTCCTTCCCTCCGAGCGGGACAGGACGTCTTTGGCTATGCACGACAGATGTTACGCCAATGCGGCACAGGTCGTCGCTGTGGCGAATAACATGGCCTTCATCACGGGGGCCCTGGATAGGTCGCTCTCTTCTGGCCAGGCGCTCAGTGGAGACACCTTATCACAGGCGAGGACCACCTCAGCGGCGATCCTGCGCATGTGCCAGGCGCTAGCTGTCGATGGCGGCCGCTCCATGGCAGCAGCTCAAGTCAGGGCCAGGCACCTTTGGCTTGGGCTTGCTAACATCAGAGAGGCGGAGAAGAGGCAGCTGCTGGACCTGCCTATTTCTCAGACGTCCCTTTTCGGTCCGGACATGCAGACCCTAGTGGCTAGACTGGAGACCGCAGCCAAGGACTCGGCTAGCCTAGCCCAGCACCTGGCGCCGAGGCGCGAGGCCCGCCCACCAGCGCGGAGCCGAGACAGAGGCAGGGAGCGTTCGCCCGGGAGGCGCCCTGACCCATATCCACGCTCCGTGGCCTATCGTCCCCCCTCGACGAGGCCCCCGGGTCCAGACAGACACACGGGAGGCTCGCGGGACAAACGCACCCACCGCCGACCTCCCTATGGCAGTGGAGGTCGGGGTGGGAAGAATTCTTTCAATAAAGGCCGACCGGCATTTCATCATTACTCGCTGTCTGAGTCTCATTTGGGGGTATGTAACATGTCAAATGATCTGAATTCTGATTGTGTTACTTCTCGAGCACATAACGTTGCTTCGCTAGGCCTGCAGCCCCCAGAGCAGGGTGTGCAGTGCGCTACGCGAGCTACGAGCTCCGGTTCACTAGTTCAGGCTATGCCCTCCCAGAGAGAGGTCAGGCGGAGGGATCTGGTGAGTAGTGGTGTGTGTGCTTCGGCCGAACGCGTGTTAGCATCTCTGAGCTACAAGGCTAACACGGGGTTTCCCACTCCAGGGGCTCGCCCCCCCCTCCATGAGGCAAGAGCCAGGGGGGGGGGGGGGGGGGGCACAGCAGCCGAGTCACGCGTGATGAGCAGTCCCGTACTTATGACGTCGGGCCTGCAGGACACGTGACCGCCCCCGGCGCTCACGGTGTGACGCAGGGGGCCCCCCGGCCCTTTCGGCCACTCCCCCTCCCTGCTAGGAACACCAGGAGAGGGCGGGGCCGTGACGTCTCGTGTTCCAGCTCCCGTTCCGCCCCTCACAGACTTCTACGACATCTGGAGGGAGCAGGGTTTGCTGACAGATATATGGCTGGAGAAAACATTGCGCAGGGGTTACGCACTGCAATTCTTCCGAAAGCCACCACCATTCCGAGGCGTACGGGCAGTACGCTCTCAGGTACGGGGATCAATAGAGGCACTGCAAGCGGAGGTATCCTCTCTGCTGAGTCGAGGCGCGGCAGTGGAGGTAGACCCGCAGGACGCCACCAGGGGGCTGTACTCCCCTTACTTCTTAGTGCCAAAGAAGTCAGGCGGGGTGCGTCCCATTCTGGATCTGCGCGTGTTGAACGAGTGCATTTCCAAACGGCAGTTTCGGATGCTGTCCACAAAGCAGCTCCTCGAGTGTGTCAGGCTGGGAGATTGGATGTCCTCCATAGACCTGACAGATGCGTACTTCCACGTGCCCATAGTGCCGGAACACAGGAGGTTTCTGCGCTTCGCAGTGGGAGAGAGGAATTACGAGTACTGCCGTCTCCCCTTCGGCTACGCGCTCGCGCCTCGGACTTTTTCCAAATGCGTGGAGGCAGCACTGGAGCCGCTCAGACACGCAGGGGTAAGAATTTTAACCTACATAGACGACTGGTTAATTCTGGCCTCATCCAGGGAAGTGGCCGTGAGCCACACGCACTGGGTCCTGTCCCACATACAGCGTCTGGGCTTTGTGGTGAACAGGGAGAAGAGCAAGCTGCAACCAGCTCAACGCATGATTTATCTCGGTCTGCAGTTAGACTCTGTGACATTCCGTGCTGCATTGTCCGTGGACAGACGGATGAATATTACCCGTCTGGCCCGGGAGGTTCTGGCGGGCCCCAGAGTCCCCGCTCGGCGCCTCAGGTCCCTGCTGGGAATGATGGCGGCGGCTCATGCTGTGGTGCGGCTAGGCCTTCTCCACATGAGGAATCTTCAGAGGTGGTTCTCGCGCCTCAGGCTTCACCCCTCCCGGGACGGGGGGAGGCTGATCTGGGTTCCCCAAGTGGCAGCATCGGACATCAGGTTCTGGCTCACTCCGGGTCTATTGCGGGACGAGTGACTCTGGCCTGCGCCGTGTCTCACGTGGAGGTGTTCACGGACGCGTCGCTCGAAGGATGGGGCGGGGTCCTCGGCCAGAGCTCTGTAGGAGGCTGCTGGTCGGACTCAGCCCGTCACATCAACCTGCTGGAGATGGAGGCAGTGCACAAGGTACTGCTGCACTTTGCTCCTCAGCTGCAGGGGAGACACGTGATGGTGCGCTCAGACAACACCACAGTGGTCTCCTATCTGAACAGGCAGGGGGGCACCAGGTCCCCTGCTCTCCATCGCATGGCGACGGTGACGCTGCTGTGGGCGGCGCTTCACCTCCTGTCTCTCAGGGCGCGCCACGTCCCGGGGGTCCGGAACGTGGGGGCCGACAGGATGTCCAGGGGGGGCCCACTCCAGGACGAGTGGGGCCTGGCCCCACGGGTAGCTGCGGAGATCTGGCGGAGGTTCGGCCGTCCAGTGGTCGACCTTTTCGCCAGTGCAGAGAACGCACAGTGCCCGTCCTGGTTCGCCTTAAGGGCCGCGGACGAGCCGCCCTTAGGCGTGGACGCTCTGGCTCATTACCCCTGGCCAGGGGGCCTGCTGTACGCTTTCCCACCGGTGCGTCTCCTGCCGGTCCTGCTGCGGAGGATCGAACAGGAGAGGAGGTCGGTGATCCTGGTGGCTCCGGACAGTCCGCATGCCCGGTGGTTCCCCTTCCTGAGGGGCATGGCGGTGATGGAGCCCTGGGCCCTCCCGGACGAGCCGGGGGCTCTAGTCCAGGGGGGAGGAGCCCTGTTTTCACGCCCGATAATCGGCCGCAGGCTCTGGGTTTGGAGGCTGAGAGGCGGAACCTCGTAGACCTGGGTCTTCCCCCTGCGGTGGTGGAGACCATTCAGGGGGCGAGGGCGCCGTCCACTGTGAGGGCCTACGCCACGAGGTGGAGGCTCTTCAGTGTCTGGTGCGGTTCCCGTTCCTGGGATCCCAGGCGTTGCCCGCTGGAGGGGGTCCTGGGATTCCTACAGGAGCTCTTTGACAACGGGAGGGCTGTCGCCACCTTGCCGGTGTTCGCGGCAGCCATTACTTCGGGTCACGACGGATTCGGGGGGTTCACAGCCCGCTCTCATCCGTTGGTTAAACGTTTTCTGCGGGGGGCGCGCAGGAGGAGGCCCCCGCTCCAGAGAACGCCCCCGGTTTGGGACCTCAGGGTGGTCCTTAGGGGGCTGTCGGGTCCGCCTTTTGAACCGGCGGCGGAAGCGAGTCCCGAGTGTGTCGCTTTTAAGACGGCCCTCTTGTTGGCGTTGGCGTCTGCTAAGAGGGCGGGCGACTTGTGTGCGCTCTCTGTCCATGCGTCTTGCCTGTCCTTTGGAGAGGGCGACGGCATGGTGGAATTGTGGCCCAATCCGGCTTTTCTCCCCAAGGTCATCACGTCGGCCTTTAGGTCGAGAGTCATCAGGATTAGGGCTTTCTATCCGCCACCGCATGCCTCCCCCGAGGAGGAGCGGCGGCACCTTCTGTGTCCTGTCAGAATGCTGAGGCATTACCTGGCCATGACGTCGTCATTCAGGTTGGGTGGTCAGCTGTTTGTGTGTCTGGGCCCCAAGAACAGGGGCGCCCCGCTGTCGGCTCACCGGCTGGCGCACTGGGTCGCCACGGCTGTGCGGCGGGCGTATCAGTTGCAGGGTCTGGCCCCCCCGGTGGGCTTCAGGTCGCATTCCACGCGTGGGATGGCGGCCTCTACGGCCCTTCTCAGGGGGGCGTCTGTCGAGGACGTCTGCCGTGCGGCTTCTTGGGCGTCGTCCTCCTCTTTCGTCCGGTCTTATCTTTTGGATGTGTCGGACCGGTCGGTGGCCCATTCCGTGCTGAGTGCAGCGGACTGAGTTAGACCGTTAGGTCCCTCCTCTGAGGGGGCCTTCGGTTTATTTCCGCCCTGGTTCAGGAGCTCTTGGGAGAGGCATCCTACAGGTGCGGTACATATATGTGTGTTTGGTCGGTCGGTAGTCCACGTCAGGAGCTCTTGGGAGAGGCGTCCTGTGACTACGGATGACCTACGATCTGTGTTACGTGGGGGCATCCTTGGTAGGAGTGGCCCTGTAACACGCTTTGTTTCTTCTGCCCTGAGTCCTCTCACGGTGTGAGGGTCTTGCTCGGGCGGAGCTCCAATCACCCTTCGCTGGCCTGCTGGGAGTACATGTTCCTACGGCCTCCGCGTTGTGTCCCACTAGCGAAGTCCTAAGGGACGTAGCACCATGACGTAGAATTAATAGTTACCTAATGTAACTTAAGTTCTACGAATAGGTGCGTAGTCCCTTAGCTACGAGCCCATCAGGCCAGCCCGGCTTGGCAGAGTTCAAGAGGGGGTGCGGCCTTGTGCAGGGGCATTTATAGAGGAAGGTGGCTGGTGATTGGAGCACATTATTTTGATCTCTCTGGCGTGTGACCTGGGGGTCACGAGTGATATCCCACTAGCGAAGTCCTAAGGGACTACGCACCTATTCGTAGAACATAAGTTACATTAGGTAACTATTAATTCCCGTCTCCCCACATAGCTGCCCTCGCGCCTGCCTGTAAAAAAATTGCTTTTGGTGAAAATTTGACACAAAAATGTATTGTAATAATGTACTCACAGAGGTCCAGAGAAAAGGGTCTCGGGGTCCAAACCTGCACCGCGGTCCGCCGTTTGGGTACCCCTGGACTAGAGGAACAGAGAAGGAAGCATGAGTGGACGAGTGGACATGAGACACACTCTGGTCTTTACTGCCTCTGTTAGTATTAGATAGCAATATGGCCTACGTGCAGGACTCTACAAGGACTCTGATTATTTTGACTATGATGTGACTGTCTCTGTGTGAAACGTCTTTCCATGTGTGACGTGACAATGACTATATAAACTGTGTACTGACTCCATTCTGTCTGAGAGAAAGAAACAAAGGAAACCACTGGAACTTGAGAGAAACTTAAATAAACTTCCAGAGTTTGGCGCACCACGATCCGTCTCTGTCTGCCTCATCCCTGACACCTCTTTTATCTACGCCCTCTGCGACATGTCGACTCTCGCCATCACTGCAGCAGAAGCACAGTTCTGAAGGAACAAGCCTATTGTAGATTGACTTCCTGCGTCCTGGGGCCTCTCTGCAGCTGAGGGGCCCGGAGGCCCTAGGGCCTCTCTGCAGCTGAGGGGACTTGGTTGCCCTGGGGCCTCTCTGCAGCTGAGGGGCCCGGAGGCCCTGGGGCCTTCACACTCACAACTGTTGCTTCTACATCACCAGACTCCTGTTGAATGTGCACAGAGGAGTGAATGGAAAGTGTCCTTGTGTTTACAGACTCTCAGGATGTGTGGTCTCTGAGAGGGGCGGAGCTGCTCTGGCCTCTGCTTTAAGCTCCGCCCACTCTCATCTGACAGAGTTAGACCTGAGCTACAACCATCCAGGAGCCTCAGCAGAGGTCCTGACCGCTGTACGGGACCACCCCCACTACCCCCTGCACACACTCAGGTGAGCACACTGCCCAGACTCTCTCTGTTCAAGTATTCACTGTGTATTTCTTCAATCATTCATTCTGTCTTTCTTTTGAATAAGAACTAGTGCGTATCTCCACGGCAACAAGACAACAGTGTTTCAACTGAAACTATTTGAATTCAACACAATTCTGAGCAAAAACATCTATCGCTGAACTGAAATATAAACAATCTGTTTTTGACTTAATGATCCGTCACAAAGTATGTATGTAGCCAACCTGCATGTGGAAGCCTAATCCTGTCAGAGCTCAGGAGCTAAGCAGGGCAGGGCCTGGATAGTACTGTGATGGGAGACCTCTGTCTGAATAATGTCTGTGAAGCACTAAATAAGTATGATTAATTAATATTATTGTTAATCACACATCAGTTCATAAATCACAGGAGAAAGATCACTATGATAAGAAGAAATGTTTTGGCCGACAGTAAGAGGTTAAACTGGAGACGTTCTTTTGTAGAAAACACTGAGGCTCAATAGAAATTGTTGATGATTGAACGATCACAGACATACAGTGCCTTGCGAAAGTAATCGCCCCCCCCATTCAACCTTTCAACATTTTGCCACATTTCAGGCTTCAAACATAAAGATATAAAATTTTAATTTTTTGTCATGAATCAACAACAAGTGGGACACAATCGTGAAGTGGAACGAAATTTATTGGATCATTTAAACTTTTTTAACAAATAAAAAACTGAAAAGTGGGGCGTGCAATATTATTCAGCCCCTTTACTTTCAGTGCAGCAAACTCAGTCCAGAAGTTCAGTGAGGATCTTTGAATGATCCAATGTTGTCCTAAATGACTGATGTTGATAAATAGAATGCACCTGTGTGTGTTCCTTTGTCTTCATGGTTCTCTCTGTGCTTTAAACAGAACCCTGAGACTATCAAAGAGCAGGTGCATTTATACGGAGACTTGATTACACACAGGTGCATTCTATTTATCATCATCAGTCATTTAGGACAACATTGGATCATTCAAAGATCCTCACTGAACTTCTGGACTGAGTTTGCTGCACTGAAAGTAAAGGGGCCGAATAATATTGCACGCCCCACTTTTCAGTTTTTTATTTGTTAAAAAAGTTTAAATTATCCAATAAATTTCGTTCCACTTCACGTTTGTGTCCCACTTGTTGTTGATTCATGACAAAAAAATTAAAACTGTAATCTGTTTATTGAGTCTTTTTGAGGCTCCATCTCTGCAGTTCAATCACAAATCCTCCAAAAGCATTTGGTCCAGAGAATCCTGAAGGCCACACATCCTGTAGTTTTAGTACCTTCCTCTGGTCAGATTGAAGTCGACAGATAAACAACATTATTCCTCAGTTTTGTCACAGTCTGTGTTTGGATCTTATTGTGAGTCTTGTTCCATGTGTGAGTGACCTGTGTGTTACAGGCTGGACCCGGCTGGAGAGAGGTGGATGGTCACAGGTCCAAGGAAGGTGTGAGTAAACAGGAAGTGATGTCATAAGTTAGAATGTTTAGTCCTCCTCCATCTGTGCCTTTTCTCTTCATTGACCTGTATGTTGGTGGTCTGTCCACGAGGACCATCCACATTCATTAGTGAAGGAACGGTTTAAAGTCTGAGATTGAGATGTTCCTCAGAGGGAGTGCTCCTATTGAGATGGAGCGACAGCTCCTTATGGTCCACCTCAAGAGCAGATCAATGATAAGGAGAAGAAAGGATCAGGAAGGACATGGAGGTGTTTAGTCAGAGACAGATCTGGGTCTGATTTTGGGTAAATACTTTCTTGATCCCTGATGGAGAAATGCAGGTGTCCAGCAGCAGAAACACATCCATCCAAACAAACAAATAAATCCATCATTCTAAAAGTGACTACAATAGTAATAAAGTGCAGCAGCAGCAGAGGTGGAGGAGCTGCTGGTGATGAGCTGCTTCCTCTCCTCTGGGTGATGTCTGCAGAGTCTGCTTGGTTTGGACCATTTTCTCTGCTCTGAATGGATTTGGATCTGAGTGGATTTACTCTTGATCTGTTTGGTTCAGATCGTGCATTCTCTCTGCTCTGGGAGAAAAATAACAATTGTAAAACAACTGTTTCAGAGCTACTTAGGTCTCGCTGTCGTTTCCAGTGCATTCAAAAGTCATTAATGTGACGCATTTGAACCAAAAAGATTGTGATGTTTTGGAAACTATTGAAATAAATAAATATAGAGAATAAGAACCAATAAAACAACTATTTACAACGATCCATTTTCCTTAGTTTCCTGTGTCTGAACTGTTGCCAAATGTAAAACCTGTTGTATATTGTGTGTTTTGCTGCATGGTGTGTTAAAGTGACAGTGAGGTCACCAGTGTGTGTGTGTTCTCAGACTTCTGTGACGTCTCTCTGGATCCAAACACGGCCAATAACACTCTGCAGCTGAGTGAGGACAGAAGGACAGTGACCAGAGTGAAGGCGCTGCAGCTGTACCCCTCTCACCAGGACCGCTTCAGCTCCTGCCCACAGCTGCTGAGCTCCACCGCCCTCACAGGACACTCTTACTTTGAGGTGGAGTGGAGCAGAGCTGTAGCTATAGCACTGAGTCACAGAGGAATCGGACGCAGAGGAGACCTGGACCAGTGTCGCTTTGGGGACAATGATCAGTCCTGGAGTCTGAGGATCGAAGGAGACGGGAGGTTTTTTTATCATTGTAAAAGGAAAACACAACTGTACTACTACGATCAAAGAGTAGGTGTTTTCCTGGACTCTGAGGCTGGAGTTCTGTCTTTCTCTAGGGTTCTGAGTGATAAATTCTGGTCCCCCCTCCACTCCGTCAGCGTCTCCGTCTCAGAGCCGCTGTTTGTTGGGTTCAGTCTGGAGCGTCCTGGTTCCTCTGTGTCTCTGCTGAACTTTAAGAAACTCTAATTTTAAAGATGTGATATTTTTAAACACATCGCTCAGAGCTTTTCTACTGATAAACAGAAATCATGTTTTTGAAAAAGATGTCAATAATTTGTGTCATGAATTTTACTGCAATAAAATATAAATGAGTTAATTGCTTAATTAAAGAATTAAGTTTCTATTTTACAGTTTAGGTTTTTATTGAGAGACTTCTTTACAGTAATTACTTTGTTAAAATCTAAAGCAGATTATTATTTTTTTGTCTGGGGAACTTCCGGTTTCTTCTGAATTGTACTTAGTGTGACATGGTGTGGGCTCGGGATGGTCCGGTCTGAACTGTTTAAATGGTTAGCGCTGAAAGGGGATAAACGTGTGTATTTTAATGTGACTTTTATGATTCTTTTGTCTGCTTTACTGATTCAATGTATTCACGGTTTTAGCTCTTAGTGAATTTGTGCAATGAAATAAAAACGTGAAATGGGCACATGCGTCTGTACGAGCCTACATTCATTCAGTTAGTATGAATTAAAGTATTAAGTAAAGTAATAATATTAAAATCCAATATAACACATGATATAAAATAAAAAGAATGAAAACAGAGGAAATGTCAAACAGACGTTGAAAGCTTTGTAAATGTGTGAATAACACGACCATGCTTCAAACTTGTCCACAACGTTATCCCTGAGCTCTCTGCTGTGCTCCTTGGCCTTCATGATGCTGTTTAGTAAGGCTCTGAGGCCCTCACAGAACAGCTGTAGTTAAACTGAGAGGAGATTACACACAGATGGCTTTTATTTCAAGGTTAGGGCAAAGTGTGAACATTCAGCAGGACATTTTACACACTCAGAAAAATGCTGTTCGCCCCACTTTGGACTTTTCTGTATTTGTGTATTAGTACTTTCCAGAGGCACTATAGACACACAGATAATCTTCTCCTTTTTCACAATATTCTAATATGTCGAGCGTGTCGGCGATGCAAAACAAGGTACAACACATGAGAATATTGAGAATCATAACATCTCAATGGCAGCGAGCCACATGAATACCTGCGCCTCTTTAAATATAGCCACAAACGTTTATTCATGAAGCTATATTTTGTCTTTTTGAGCATGGAAAAACAAATGCTCTGTGTAATGTCATGTTGGATAGTCGGATAGATGCTTATTTCCTCTGAGATGTTATTCCTTTGACTGTAATACCCAAACTAAATATAATTATCTTTCACTTCATACAGTTTGTGTTGCTTTTATTAATCCCGTTTCTCCATAAAAATATGTAAACCACCCCCAGTGAGAACTCCCAACAGGCTGATTCTGCCCTATTCACATCATCTGGTCTGTTCTTACAAAATGTTAGTTATTTATACAATTTGATTCATTTTTGTTCATACCTGACACTTGTGACTGCAGTCTTCCTCAGTTTTTGCCGCTGTCTTTCTACCACCAGAGGCAGGACGAACAGCGCCATCTGCTGTACGACTTCTTCAGGACAGAATCCCAGCTGTGTGAGAGTAAAGAAGCCCCCTCGTCCCGGTTTATAGTCCTGAGGGCGCGTTCCCGTATTTCTATTGCCTCTTTGATCCAGCGTCGTGTTTGTTGTCCTCAGCCACTATGATACTTGCTCCGTCCCGATCCATAATGTGGTTCTCTCTTTTACACTGGTCGGAGATGGCAGATCTGAGTGTCTCTTGTTCTTGCTGTGTGTGTTGTGTTGCTTGTGTGTACGCTTTAGCACACAAGCAACACAACACTGGGAGGAAGACTGTGCACCAGCAAAAGTGTCAGGAATGAAAAAACACTGGTCTTAAACAAAGAACCAACTTGTAGAATCTATCAGAGGAGCAACTGAACCTCATTGGACTGATAGCTACTTGATTAGCTTCAAATTAGCTTTGTATTTTCTCTGCAGTCACATGTCCGTTAAGATGTTGCTTTCTCCATGAATGTTTGATATAATCTTACAATAACAGAAAACAGACAAATCACTGGGTTCTCTCCATAAAGATGATTGTGGTCATTTTTACATTTCTTCTGTAGAATTGTGTTAATAACGTCAATACCTGCTTCTTTATTCATCATGAGATTAAAATGGGTTCTGTCTAAATCTTGAGTCAAACTTTGAATCAAGTAAAATAATTCT